TTTTTTCGCAAGAAACACATTTTTCAACATTCAATTCATTGTAATGTCAAGAAATGAGTAGAAGCAATACTCGGCAAGCAGAATCTTAATAATCAGACGCCTAATGATCTCTTTTTAAAAATTATTTTCTACACTTACACACACGCGTACATGTACGCCCACGTATATGCATACAAATTCAAGATAACACCCTGCTTATGTCACGAATCATGTGCCATTATTTTTAATGGACTTGTCATGTAGCTCAAAACCAAAATTATTTCCTTTTAATAAATAAACTTTTTTTCTTTAATAAATCAGTAATCAAATAATGATACCAATTATTCCTCTTTGCCTAATAAGAAATTCTTGTTATATTTAAAAAATTTTTCAAGCTTGAATTTTAGATTCATTTGAATAAAGTAATCTTAACGATATCTAAGACTAAACGAGAAACTAAAATATTTCTATACAAAGGGCATTACGATTAATATATGTATCTTGTTAGATTCAATTAATAAGTAAGGCTCGCAAATATCGCATACTAAGTCATGATTCGCGACATCATTGACATGAAACGTTCTTATGTTCCTAGACATCAAGAACTCTTCGTTTCATAATGATGATGGTTATTTATACGTGGAATATGTACCATATCACACAAAACTGGCGACCGCCTTTTTAAATGCCGGACAAGAATTGGGTTATCAAATCGTAGACTACAATGGTCTAGATCAAAAAGGGTTTTCGTATATCCAGGTAAACATGGATCAAGGAACGCGTTGCAGTGCCGCTAAAGCCTATCTTGAGCGAATTAATCGACCAAACTTGGAGATTATCACTGGTGCGAGAGTGACTAAAGTACTAATAGATGCGGATAAACGCGCGTACGGCGTCGAATACGTCAAAGATAACATATGGAAGAAGGTGACCTGTTCGAAAGAAGTTGTATTATCAGCCGGTACAATTGATTCAGCGAAATTATTAATACTGTCGGGAATCGGACCGAGAGAACATCTTGAAGAACTGAACATCCCAGTAGTTCAGGACTCTAAGGTCGGTTACAACATGTACGAGCACATTGGCTTTCTGGGATTAACTTTCATGGTGAATCAGAGCGTGTCATTGCTGCAGAGCAAGCTCCTTAATGCTAGCGTGTTTTTGGAGTATATTTTGCACAAAGATGGCCTTATGACAATCCCAGGAGGTGCCGAGGCACTGGCATTCATCAAAACCAAATATGCTCCCGACGAGAGACCGGACATTGAGCTTCTCTTCGTATCCGGCTCTTTGCATTCGAACGGTCAAGTCTTGAAAGAGGCCTTGAGAATTTCAGATGATGTGTATAACACCATTTATAAACCGATCGAAAATCAAGATGCCTGGTCGATTTGGCCAATCGTTCAGTATCCCAGAAGCGTTGGCCGCCTCACCTTGCGATCAAAGGATCCATTTGAGTCGCCTAAAATGGATCCAAATTTTTCAATCATTCTGCCGATCTAGAGATCATTTTAGAAGGTGTGAAACACGCCATCAACATATCCAAGACCAAAATCTTTCAGGCTTATGGAAGTCGATTGCATGATTTTAAGATACCAGGTTGTCAACAATTTGTGTTTGCTTCCGATGATTATTGGCGATGTGCCATTAAGCATCTACCATCCATGATGAATCATGAGATAGGGACTGTTAAAATGGGACCGGAGACGGATGCTTACGCAGTTGTCGATCCGCAACTAAGAGTATACGGTATTAAAGCACTCAGAGTAGCAGACGCATCGATTATGCCCACGATACCCAGTGGCCACGTAAATGCGGGAATATATATGATTGGCGAGAAAGCCGCGGACATGATCAAAGAAACATGGAAAAGCGCATTGTAAAGTCCACTCTTTATGAGAAATTCAAGAATAATTTTATTGTTTCGGTTACCAAACGATTTACATATAAACTCATACTGCTAAACTTACAATAAAATTAAAGATTAAAAAGAAAGTAATAAGAAAATCGTTGGACGATTTTACATCGATACCTCATTGCCGTTTCAATTATATGATAAACATAACAAGTAAACTGCATATATAAAATACTGCCAAATTTTTTAAGTCATTATTAAAAAAAAGCAAATATGCAAAAACAGATGACAGGAAATGTACTTGCGTGGAAGCTAGGCTAGATAGGCATTTCCCACCAGATGTGACTTGATGTTTTGTGTGTGTGTGTGGGTGGGGGGAGGGG